CGGCCACAAGAACCGTGCACCCTGTCCCCTACAGCAACGACCAACTGTCTCCTTGAGCCAGTATAGACGAGGTAGTGGGTAATAGACAGGTAGGCACCTTGTCAACATGCACATCAAGCGCAGTCACACCGGGGAGGTACAACACGGTAATGCAAACAGAGATCGGTAAGTCAATAAAGCCGATAGCTGAAGTTCCTGCGGTGGTCTGGCGGAAGTTGGGAATAGCCTGAGCTTCCCGTGAGAACAATTTTCTCTATCAGTTCACAATACCAGAAATGCTGAGTATGAAAAGGAGCATCTTGTCTGCAGTGGCTTCTATTTATGACCTCCTGGGTCTTAGTGCCTCTTTAGTTAGCCCGCTAAACTATTACTGCAAAGGCCGTGTCGAGGCAAACTACATCGGTTTGACCCCGTCACAACTGACACTTGCAGTTCCTGACTACATGAAATGAAAGCGTTAGATACTTGAAGATTTTTCGGTACGTTCGCAAGCTTGGGGAGACAGGAGAGTGGTCACAACTGCACATCTTTTTTGGTGCATCCGAAGCCGAATATGATGTGGTCGCTTATGTTAGATGTTACACTGAAGACACCGCATACTGTTCACTGTTATACCTGAAGTCGACGGTAGACCCCTCTGAAGACAAAGCGTAGACCAGGTTTGGAACTGTCTGCGGCTATAATTGCGACGAGGCCATACGAGGGCTTGACCGAAAAAGCTCGGACAAGTTTTGAGAAAATTGTGTTTTGGACGGACTCTAAAGCTATTTTACACTACATAAATGATGTGTCTAACAGATACAGCACTTCGGTCACCAACCGACTGACAGTCATCCAAGGACTATCCACACCCATGTTAAAGCTGGCTGTAATCCTGCGGACCTGCTGTCGCAAGGCACCACATATCTAGTACTCCTGAAGAGCCTGTTCCTTGGGCCAGAATTACTGCTGAGTATCGATGATGAGTGGCCCGGGTTTCTCTTGAGTTCTGAGCCGGTTGACGTAGAACTGAAGCTTTCCGCTGCTTAGGTTTGTGCGACATCAAGGGGGACACCATTGTCTATTCGTAGCAGCAGATATTCCGACCGGACTAAGTTATTACAGGTGGTGATTGGGTTGTCTCGATTCAAGCAACAGTTTAACGCCTTTAGACAGGGAGCTGATGGAGTCTTGCCACGCAATCCACTGGTTACTATATCTGAACTCAACGAATAAAGGTGTGATCTCATTCGAATTGCCCAACTCGAAAAGGCAAATGCAGACGCAATGGCATTTACGGCGAGGCTACGGCGAGGCCCTTTGACCAGCCTCTACCCAATACTACGAAGTGGCTTACTCTGTGTTGATAGCCAGATGGTGTATTCAGAGTATGACGCTGCGTACAAGTCCTTGGTTACACTCTCGCAAAAAACGCCGTTACCGAGCTGATGAGCTGATTTTGTCGTTTGCTGGAGGGCTACTTGGGCGTTTCCCAAGTTCTGGCAAGCTTAGGCCGTAAACATTGGATCGTTCTAGGGATGTCGGCAGTGAAACTGCTCGCTACCGCTGGTCAACAGCTAATGGTGCTATTGCCGTTGGCTCGGGTGGAACGTGGATGGCTCCCATGCAAATTTGTCGACGTGGATTGCTCTGGGCCATTTATTGTCAAACACGGGCGGAAGCAGCAATAACGATACGAGTGCCTGTTTGCCTGTCTACACCGCGAGCCATGCATTTGGAGCTTTCCATCATTCTAAATGCTGACTCGTTCATTATGGCCTTGATGCGATTTATTTTCCGCAGAGAGACTGGGACCGCATTATTCGGTGACAATAGGAGCAACTTTGTGGGCGTCGCACCTGAGTTGCGTACTGCTGTGAACGGTTGGTTCCAACTAAGAGTCAATAATAGGCTCCGTAGCATGGGTGGTGCATTGGCACTACAACCCAACAATGTCCAGCCATAGGGGAGTATTTGGGAGCGCATACTCAGGTCTGTTAGACAGATGCGGTTGCCGGTTGCGAACCAACAGACTTTGAAGGTTGAAACGCATGGTACTCGCTTCGTTGCGGTGGAGCATATCGTCAACAGCAGACTACTAGTACCTTTGACATCGGAGCCAAACCACCGTATGACACTCAACCCTAGCGATTTGCTGATAATGCGATCTAACGCATCGCAGTTCTTAACGGCTTGTTTACCCAAAGAATTTAGGCGCTGTTGGCGACAAGTCGATTAGCTGACGGCATTACCTTGGAAAAGGTGGATCGCAGAGTATTTGATATTGTTGCCCTCTAGTCAAAGGTGGCTTCATCGGGGTCTGAACTTCAGAACAGATAATGTAATCTTGGTCTCTTCAGGAACAAATTCACTGGGCACGTGTCAGGATGGGCCTTCTGACCACTGTATAACTTCTGAAGATGGGCGTGTCACGACTGCACTAGTTAGAACAAAGGATAGGTTAATCACAGGTAATGTGTGAAAGTCGTGTTTATTGGAAGGAAGCAACACGGGTGGGGATGTAACCCCGACTGTTGACTATCCGCAGGTTGGAGACGGGTCTTCGGATTTGCCGCTCCAGGAGGACCATTGTGAGCCCAATAGCCGAAGTTGGAGCGCCCAGGCGTACCGGTGTATGCCATGTGACCACCCTAATGTATGGGGAAGGGGTAGGGCAGTCCAGAGCAAAATCTTAAACAGCCTTGATGGGAAATCCGGATCGGATTTTGATGGGCAGTGCAGCACGAAGTAGCGACCACGCAAGACTCACACCTGTAAAATGCCTACTTCTACGTTGGTCAGCCTCATCGTCCGGGCATGAATCATTCGCGTGCCTGTCCACTTCTCCAATTTCTGTTTCAACGCAACCTACCATGACACCCTTACTGTGTGACGCAGTGTCCATTTCCAATTCATCCACGTCCTACCTTGTTTTCACTCCTACGCACTAGTACCTCTATGTTCAGCCTTATTGGCCTGGCACTGTTTCCCTTGATTTGATCGATGTGTGTAACTCTCACAGCTTGTACAGCTAGGTGCATCAGAACTTGCTGTAGCACCTTTCATTGGCGGATGTATACATATAACCACTGGCTCCTTTGACCTCTTTTCATAAGCCATGTGTGTCTCACTTTGATTCCATTATGTTCTTACGTACGCCTGAACTCACGGGGCACTCGTAGATTTAATCGCGAACTGTTGACAGACTTTGAGTTTGGGAATCCTTAAGATAATGTCCATTTTGCTACGCCGAATTTGTACAAATGGCACTGTTATCTCAGATGCGGACATGGTATTTTGTCGAATATTCCGATGGGATACGCGTGGCTTAAAGTTCCAAACGCTTTATAGCGCTACATTCAGTTATGTTTGTACAGCTATCGTTTTCAACTAAGACGGACAGGAAGTGATAATGCCTTATTGCTTGCTTCTTTTCTGTCTCACAATCGAGACATTCGAGTAACGTGATCGCTTCTATTTAAAGAACCACATACATTTAGCCTATTGTCCATGAATTCCTAGCTGGGGAGCACTAGGTTTAACATTGATGGCTTGCATTCTATCATGAACCTGGTGGGATCAGTGGCGTTGTTGTATAGGGGTAAGTTATAGAGTAGGTCTTGCAAATACGCTAGAACTGTTCCGCATCATTTGCTAGCATTTCAAACTCATGGAGTTTGAAATCTCCTGTAAGAAAGATATGGGCTTATTATTGATGTAAGGCAAGATGAAATGCAGATAGTGGAGTGGATTTAAGCAGTCGGTAAACTCTGGACACGAGGAGTGTATGGTTGTCCGTCAACGACAATTTATACAAAACGAGATCAATGACATACGTTTGAGAACCAACTGTGAGCACACAGCAAACGTTTGTGCTGTAACAAATGGGAGCTCCCTCACCAATACTAGTTCTGTCATTCCGGAGAAACGGCATACCGGGTAGTGCGATCTCAACGTTGTTATTGCACAGCTCAGCCCCGTTTCGGTGATCATTATGATCTCTCGAGACCTGGAAACCTCACGGTGACGAGGTTCGACCACCTTGTCAGTATGTATTCGAGCAGTTCAATTTCTCATTAATCAAAAGTGAAGCATTGAACGTTGGACTAGCATTGGGGATCGTTCCGACCGTTGAGCCGCTAGCTGCTAGCTGCTAATAATTTTGAGTTGTTGGCTGTTGTAGTTCGGTTGGGTAATACGACTGTTCGCGGCTGTCCGGACCCAGACGGTCTACCGTAGTTACTCGTATACTGTCGAATACTGAGGTTGCCATCAGGTCAATCCATTCACAGAACAGTAGGAGCAGAAGATTCACCAATTTGTTCGTCCCGAATTAGACGTTAGCCACCCGTGGCTGTGCACCCGCTGTCCTTAAGCTAATTTCTGTAGACAGCCTCTTGCGGAATGTGGATCCATTTTCCAATATAAGCAGTCATTAGTTCAACCTGAAGCCTTATCTGTATCAGCCGGGGGGCCGGTCCTCTTGTAGTTGGGTGATACGGAAATTTGTATTAACCGCTTTGCAGCGGTATTGTCGTGTGCGAGTACCTGCTCCCGGTCTGCGCTTCCGTTTCCTCACTAGGGGATGTTTGAAGCTTAGGAAATCCAAACACCATAATCGTCCGTTTTTCGTCAGATGTACGAACTCCGTCGCGATTGCTATTCTGTTTCATTCGTTCGTTCCAAGCGATATAACGTACCAGCCTTCTCTTCCTATGACACGCGTTGCGCATGTCAATACCCCGGCCCTCCCGACGTAGGTTGTTTGCGTGACCGGAGGTGTGAATTGTAGAAGAGGAGGGGAGGCGAAACGATGACCTGGTCAAGACGAATAAAGGTCATTACTTCGAAGTTGGCATCGGTTAGTGTATTCCGACTGTCGGGGTTGGGTCCCAAGGACGATGAACACGTTTTGTTTGGTACACTTGTTGTCGTGGCGTCTGTGTTATGAGTTGCTTTGTCTCTCTCCCCCTACCGCTCATGTTCCCCCTCCAACCACCAAATCGCATTCAATGGGTAATATGATAATAAGTATTATATTAACCGATTTTGTCTTCTGTATTCTATAATATTCTGTATCCTGTTTTCATATATCTTTCTTTTTACATTGCGGTAAAATGGTCGAGGGATTTCGCGTACTGCAAATACGTAATGATGATGAAAATGATGAGGCAGCATGGATATCTAATGGTTTACAAGTGGTAATCGGATGCAGGCTGGTTTCCAGCTCTGTGGAGATATCCCAGTTATTATCATACTGAAACACACTCACATCCTGCGAAGTAATCGATTTTTTTCCTAATGAACCAGTGGGATACAGTGTGAGGTATCTTGGATAAAGTAAATATAACAGATTCATGTACACAAAACCGAGTAACTAACTCTAAATAACAAGTGTGGCATTACGTATCCATGCGTCTCTCTTCTGGAGGGAATGGGGGACAGTTTAAATGTGTAGCCTGTGGACGCAGGTGATTCTCAGCTCTGAAGATCACAGTAGAACATTCACGTCTTTTACATTCTGCTTCAACCATTGGTGTATTTCATTTCGGTGAGCTTTTGACCACTTCTGATTGCGTTCCGCCCTTCGGAACACTTCTTTGAATCCGCGTTGCAATACGTGCTTTTCTACCTTGGTCTGGGTGCGTCGTTCCAATTCAGAAACCTTTGGCAAAAACACAAAAGTTCGCTTTGGTTTCAGTTAATAGTGATTTCAATATCGGTACCGATAATACTCTGCTAATAGGAACATGCAACTGAATTCGACCTCCACTCATAGTGCGCTCCATTACCATTGATTCTTAGGTTCAAGTGATTATTCGCAAACGTAAGTAAGCGCAATCTAACATATTCACAAGTGACTCGAACTTACTTCCTCAGGGGGCGGCACATTGTTCAAGGTGCCAACTGGTTTCGATAGAATCCTCAACATCACCAAAACCGCTGAACTATTGAAAGGAAAAAACATGGTGAATCAGTGATTCACCACCCATAAGCAAGATCTCACAATGGCATGAATTAGTCTAAGTATGTTGGAAACCCGCGGTGCGAGGGGTCCGCCTTGGGGGGTTTAGATGGTAACATAATGAACCCATCATAAGTTGGAGCATTGCGAAACTACCTGAGCAGCACACGGCTGCATTGTGTCACAATAAATGTTCACACAGGCTAGCGTCCCGTAATTGCTGCCATACTACTAGGTGAACCTAGCGTAAACAGTACGTCGGCACACCGTACGGACGCTTCGCTGCCATCACCATCGGGTGTATTTTGTATACTGAATACCAATTAACATACACAAAGAGGCATTCTTTATAACTGAAGGTCTCTGCTTAAATGGTAGCTGAGGTAACTGTAACTAGGCATCAGTTACCTTTAACCTTGTTCAGGCATAAAACACATTATTCACTTTTAGATCATTCCTTTACGACATTCACTAAACGGAAGAAAGTCAATGAAAACGGTCATTAACTTACTCGATGGGGTTTATTTTCTTATCGCGATCAGCACTGCAAGACAAAGAGTGGTGAACGTGTTATACGTCCATCTAAACAAATACGCCCTCCCTTTTCTGTCTTGCCGTATCTTCTAAACATCAATTAGGACAAAATGCATAGTAATTGTCTCATCGAACAGTAGCTACGATGCTTTCCCGGTATACCTTGAAATGATCATTCCACTCATTGTCTTGATGTTCCACCCGTAAAAGCTCCGGACTAATTGAGGTTATTCTCCTCATATGAATTTTGTACCTAGTAAGCTTGGGGGCAAACTAAAATAAGGTTGCCAGTGGCAGTGCGAAAATCTTAAGATTTACTGTGAATTCTTTTTAACTAAGGGATGGGGCAAGCAGGCGTGTTGTCCATTCCGAGGGGATTCCCATTAGTGTCTTGTAGACCGTAACCGATTAAAATAGCAGTCCTCTTTGGAGAAGGTGGTCTCACGTTCATTGTACCTTGTCAAGGGAATCGTTTATGAAATACTTAGAATTGATGCTTGCAAACGAGGTGTTGACTACTTTCTTATAAATAATATCAAGAAAATACCACCCCGAAAATGCACGTAATCAAGACAAGCGTCGAAAACCTGTTAAACGGATAGGCGAACACATGAAAGAGCAGCGAATGGAAGCGCTTACTCAGATGTCATTCTCCTCCACGCTTCTCGGACAAAGTCCCACAAAAGTATGTGGCCAATGGGATTTTGTGCGATTTGCGTGATCGGTTCAACCAAATCGGTTGGATCCTGATGTTCTAGGCGCAGAAGGCTATTGAGGTAGCTAGAAAGGAGTAGCAATAATCATACCTTCGGCTTAAATGTTTTAAGTGTGACCGAATTTCACGTCTGCATGCTTGTGTTTAATACACAAACTAATGTAGTTTTGAAATTTTACCATGACAACTGCCATAACCTTCGTAAAAAAAGCCTCAAATGAAAGGCAAAGAACAAGGAAGCAAAAAGGAGAGTACATCTTTTCTCCAAGGACGATAATGCATCTGGTCTCCAGTAAATCATCAACTCCACCTCTAGTACACACCATGTTTGCGAATAACAAATTGAATCTCCCCGCGAAGTAATAAATTTTTTACTTCTCCACTATCATGAGTCATTATTTTGTTTGATACAGGAATAGTGGGCTGAGATACTGCCAGGGCACCCAGACCTAGACAGGAGGACGATTAGGGTTCTCAATCAAAGTCTTCGGCTCAAAAGCCTGTCCGCAATTCAGCGGGGAGATAGCAATGATTTAGTTTTACAGAAATGAATGCCATCTTATTTTAAACACACAACCAGGAGGACCAGGACACTGAATTTGTCTGACCTCAGTCCATTGACCAACCTGGTAGAAGCAGCTCCCAAGTGACCCGGGGGCACTACCCAGTATAGGTCAATGGGTCAAAGAGGTACGCAAACCATCGCACCACGTTAAGGTCCAGTCTCGTTGCGACGGGAAGTAAGGCATCAGCAGTAGGCCGGTATTCAGCACCGACGCTTCACTGCCGCACAGTCGTTACCGGTCACACGTGGGCTAAGGATACTGCGAATGTCGCCCTGTCCGTAGGCAGGCTTGAAGCCGCTGCGTTAGACTACAAGAGAGCTCGTTACCTTTAGGCTACAGGCCAGCCCCACTTGCGGTTGCGGTTGATCGAAATTATCACCGCATGCCAACCCTTATTCTGAACCGTGAAAAGCAAATTGAACTGTAACGCCTAACTTGAGCACTTTGAGTAGGTGCCACAAAAAGGTCTGCAAAAAGTTGCACTGTTAATCGCATTGTTCTCACCCTTGCTTTTTTCCAGCAATCTTACCGAGCAATACCATCTTTATCGTCACAGACAATCAGGCTAATCGACCAAACGACATTTGTTAGGCGGTTTTATGAAGTCATCAAGCGGCAAACGATATCTGATATGCAAAGCTGCAGATGGTTATGAAAGGAATGTGCCTACTTTTTATGATAAATAGTTATTCCACTATTTTCACGAGAATCATAAGAATGTGACAATTCGAATACCGGTTTTTACTGCACGCGTGGTCAGGGAAGAAGGAATATTGAAATCAGAACGGGACATTTATTAACAATAAAAGTACACAGTGTAGTTTTGCAATCGGTTAGGTGACGATAGCTTGAACTTTATTCGATCTTATTCATCGTGGCTACTGGTCTGACTTGTTTACATCCATACTGCGTGGAACTGTGAGCAACGGCCTAGATTTCCTTCTCACCCTTACTAACCTATAAGGTTACTGCCACGATTCATAATGCATCTTGCTATTCAATATGACGAACTGTTTCATACAAAGTTTATCAATTACCTGTTGTATTACTACACGTTGGTAGAAGTCTCGTAATTACCGTCAAGACTGTTACCTTTACGACTGGAAAATAGAACATTCCATTCGTGATGAGTTACAATGTTGAATTGAAGCGAGGGAGTTAAGGCTAAAACTGACTCTGTTTAGGATAAGAATTTTTAGCTGAAAATTGCTGACGGGGGTTTCCAAATTTATTTCCCGTCACAATTGATGCGTTTGTCGAATAATACATACTATAGCCTGTCATACATTAATGAGGATGGTAACAGACCTACTCTTTCATTATCACGACGTCCCTCGTGCAGGCAAGTGCAGCACGAATGTTACCCGGTTCCTCGTCCTTGGCATCGTCCAATAAGCGGCTATGAAGGAAATGCCACTCCAGTTGTCCTCCCCAATGAATTGCAGAGCAATACACGATTGATCGAAGACTTGGAGGAATCCTTTTTGAAAATATCAAACAAAAACACGGTTTTCATTCATTCGGGTCACCCAGATTATACTCGCAATGTGACTCATGTAACGTAAGTACATCGCTTGACAGAATAAAGAAATTCTGTTGTAAACAGCAAAACTCACGTGTTTGTAGCATTAGTCGCCATCCACTTTCGATACATTTCTTTTACTTTGCGAACACATAATCCGTGTTCCACTTGACAGGCTAGTTTGATGATGGTTCCACGAAGCATGCTGTAAAAATTTGAAAACACCAATGAGTGAAAGATGTAACCGATTTCCCCTGCTGATTTCTTATGCAAAATCTACGTACAAGGTTTGTTTCCGTTGATATGTTAAACCGAGTATCGTGAATTTCGTCTATTGGACTATCCTGTACACAGTCTTGCGAACCCGAGTAGGGTGACAGAATAGTATACAATACATTCACAGAGACTGAACCAAGTTGACGATTACGCAATAAAATGTTTGTAAACGTGGATTGTACTACGCTTTGTCACTGCATACGTTCTTCCACCTTGACGTACTACGCTACTTTGCATTTTCATAGTCAACTGGGTGGGCACTGCTAAATGAACCGCAGGTTGGTAATACACTTCTCTTCAAGTAACTTAGATCCAGAACTGGCTTTTATTGGCATTATTGTGTAAACTCGTATTGTTGTTGCCACAGACTAGCGCCAAAAATATATACCGACACGCGTTACCCCCATCATAGCGCACTTCTTGAATGTGGGTCAACTTCCTAAACTAGACTGAGGTGCAAGTTCATATTTCGCCATATATAAGCACACCGTTTGTCAGGTAGACCAGGTTTAGCGCGATTTCGTTAGATTTCAACAAATTCGTTCGAGAATTAACAAATCAATCTACGCCAAGACGGTATCGTTTTTGTCTATTAATAATGCAGCCGGATAGTCAATAAGGAATCATCGAAATGTGCTGTTAGTGTGTAAGTAGGGTTAGGCTAAGCAGTCCGGTGCAACGTCGTCGCACCGCTGTGGTCAGAAACTACGCTCTCACCCCCTGCTCTACTGTGGTCTGTGTGCAAAAGGTAGACGATCATCTAACTAGCCATTTAGGCATCACATTGTCCGGTGCGGTTAACTCTATGTTCTGAATGACGCTACGCCCCATGAAACGCGGCGAAAACCGGTTTCTTCGATCTTCCGACATTTAGTGATGATTTACATTATTAGTCCTTCATAAGTCATGAGAGGAGTAACAAGCTGGTAAATTTCTAGATACAAAGACGCGTGATGTCTTGTACGTAGGCTTAGCACCGGTCTGGAATGCCCCGAAAGAATGATGCAAGTTATCACTGTTGGTGACCAAAATTTCTTCGACAGGTTTAGGAAAGAAGGAAACACTTTTACGGATGTAACAAAATTTGTTTATCCAGTGGACAGATCTCAGCCATAATAACTTCAGTTGTTATTCGAGAACGAGAGTTGTAGCTGTATGAATCGAGATAGGTTTGGATTTCGCTCTGTGTTTACTCATGGAACTGCGTACGGTGTAAGAACAGCTGTCAAGTGATTCTATGGTAACTCCTGCAAGTTGACAATGATATGAATCCATTACAAATGTTTTCCTGTTACTAGAAACATCGGGACATCAGTACCTAGTCAGCTTGGTTTCCGTTCACCTAATTTTACGGTTGATCAACCAACTATTAATGGATTTTCATGCAAGTTACTCAAGTTGTTGTATGTAAACCCAACTAATAGCATCAGTTGGTACGTACCAGTATATGACGCACCACGCAGATACCCGAAAAGACTGTAGTCCCATGAGATGTCTTTGATCCTCCTGAGCAGCTGACGTGTCTACGTACTGTTACTAGTGCTGCAACAGATCATTATCGGACAACCCCTTCACGTGAAGGCAGTGCATGAATGGAGGTCAATCAACAAAAAGTACATTGCCACATGCTGAACTTACTGCTTCATATGGTTTTCGTTCTCCTGCACAGAATCCCAATCCACTTGCTGCAGTGTACTGTCGACCAGTGTACGGAGATATGCCTGCATTAACCACAATGCTGGATCCAGAGCGAGCATACGCGACATCGTTTCGAAAGCTCTTCTCGCTGTCTCCCAAGGAACATATTTGTCTTCCCGGTACAAATATTTCGTTAAATTCAGGAATAACGAATAAGGGACAGTTCCTCGGCTGCTTTGGAGAAGGAAGTCATAGTTACTGATGATCATACCGATTTACACTGTTAAAGTAGTTCATGCTTTCCAGTTAATACAGCAGGCCTATGTCACAAGAAGTAAGTCGGGGAGAAAATATAAATATTGACGGTACTATCTCTAAGATGCAACCTCATCAAAGCCAGGAGTAGTCACAGCAATGAGGCCGCCTACCTGCGTTTATTATCTACACACTTAAGCAATCAAGCACAGGTAGCCCCCAAAGCCTGAGAGTAGAGGTGCATAAGAGACAAGCAGGAGGCTAGTGCAAAGTAGGATGATTTAAACGCATTTGAAAGATGCACCTTAATAAGTATGTCCAGTGAGGGGAATATGAGCTCCACATTCTCGAGAATATAACTAGTCCTCTAAACTCTTAACTCCTAACATCCGAATAGGGAACGTTGCCTGGATAGTGTCTTAGTGGTAGGAAGCTCTGGTAACACCAACTTATCTTACGCGCGACAAGCGGCTATTGCCATTTTTACGCACTACCCACCCATAAGGTTTAGAAATACTTTGATAAGATAACAAGGATGGCTACCACAAAATCTACTGTTCTTCCTTCTCTGGTTGCTTCAATTAATCGATCAAGCTGCCCACATGCGTGCTCTTTACCGTACTGTCTCAAACACTCCGGACGCAGTTCAGTCTCAGACTATTTGCCGATCGATCAAATAAATGTATCCCGTAGTACAACAACCATATTCTTGTAAGCTAAGGAGCGATTACCGTGGCGCTAACATATCAAAAATATCCGGAACGGATGTGGTCATAAGGGACACATGAAAACAGCTGATTTGCACGTTCGTCCACACACTGTCGACATTTGACAGCGACCCACTACTAGCATAACTTGTAACGCAAACCCTTAACGTAAGGAATTCGGACACAGAGTTTATCGTTTAATTCCCTGGCTTACGCTGGTAGCAAGCCAAGCCATCTGTTTCATCTGGACCGAAATGCTTTCAGCCACATCACTCGATGACATTCTTAAGTTAAAGTTCCATCTTGTTCCAATTAATCACCGCGTACTGTTTGCTTTACTTCGACGACGTCAAAGTTTGGCGGCTGATCAAATCCCCAGACAATTGTGACTAGCTTCAAAATGACCTTGACAGTATTTACGGATGATCGGTTGACTATCGTCTTCTGTTCAGTATGACTAAATGTCTAGTACCCCATATTTGACACCAAATGGTTCACACTTATAACCTAGTCGTTCAGGATCTCTAGCAATATTATCGTGGCAATTATGTCTGGGTGCTGTTCCAGGAAGCCTTTTGTTGCTCGAATAAATCTATGATAACATCAAAAATGGCATCCAAGACTTCGGGCTCTTCAAGAGAGCTTTTGGCCACTCTGATCTATTTATTTCCACCCGATGCTTTCTGTATACATGCACATACATGTGGAATGGGCGATTCATGCATAGCAGCCTTGGCTGAAGCGGGATCTCAATGTTCTGGAAGTTCCTGAGTTTCGGGCCACCAAAGACGGCGAAAGGTTATATCAATTCCCTTAGGAACAGCGCCTGAATATTTTTGGAAGTTTTCGACGTTCGGCTGGTGATCTCGTCAAGCTTTATCAAATTTTAAAAAACTCTAAACACTCATGCTATCAGTTGTAAAAACAAGCCGCAACAACTGAATGAGAGGCCTTCGTTTCAAACTGGAAGAACAATACAGCTAGGTGGAGAGTAGACGGAATTTCTTTTGTTACGTGTGTGCTCCTGATGGATTCACTCCCGGAACCTGTTATCACTATTCTTACAGTCGCTGTGTTCCAACATCGTGTAGCTAATACACTTCTAGTGCTTCACCACCTCATACAACACACACGAACCATACACACATTCAGAAGACAGAACCTTATCAACGCACATCCGTTTTTATGGGTCAAGCAAAGGTAGTGACATTTCAATTTGGATAAAAACAAATGTAAACGATTCAGATGGGCAACATTTGGCTCGGCAATTCCAATTGTCTTCGATTGTTCTACGTTTATGGTTGATTTTCCTCTGAAAACCCTTACTCGCCATCCCCCACGGGACAAGTCAAGCCTCGGCTTTTTTATCCGCAACGTGCCGTTGACTATTTCCCCCGCTTCTGCAATTAGATCGTATCAATTCAATACACCGTACCATCCAAGCACGTTACACAGAATAATTGAAATAAAGTTGTTTTATATATCTAGTGCGTATTTGTCCACAACTATCCTTATTATTTGGCTAATTCGATTCGACGCTACATCTTTCCGTTGCATTTCCAACCACCTTTGTGACCATACCATACGCGTCATTTCATTAGCAAGTTTAGTGTGAGTAAGGTGACTAATGCTTAAACTGGCCCTTCAGGTGATTTGGTTGATCATCGAATGTTTAACAATAACCCTTGTCAACAAAATTAAGTGCACAATTGTGGACTTAACAAAATATTCACTTAAGCCCATATCCAAATCTTCTGGTCTCAAGTATATGGGGAGTTTGTGAACCTAGGGTTTGTCATTGTCATGTGGTCTTGCAATTAACACGGATTATGCGCACAATCCAACCGGTCAGCTGTAACATCACGCCAATACAAAAAACGGACAACATGGGTGCCGAAATGAACTACGTCGGAAGAGTGTTCTAAGGCTGACTGACTTGGCCGGAAAATTCCTGTGATAGAACCAGCGACACGGTGTGGCCGGTTTCTATTGTCAGGTCGGTGTTGTTAATAGTCTTGAGAGGTTGCTGTTAACTTGACTGGGCTACTTCGGATACCACCTGCTTTACGTTTACTGCTTACACACTAAATTGGTGTGCGCGATTACATAGACCAATGTCATCTTTAGTTACCATACGCTGTGGAGTCCCGATTGCGGTGACAGCGCTACGCCCAGTACCAACAGACTTGTGTGGCGTGCTCCACATGAGGTCTCACGTAAGTGCTGATCGTCTGCGGTAAGACAGGAGGAGCAAACTACCAAAACACTTTTCGCAAAAGACCGCTGCTCTTGGTGTATTTTCAACACCTTCCCGGATTATTTTGAACACCTCTGCTCAGCTGGAACGGATACCTCAACTTCCCGCTCCTGAGAGACTGTTTAAGTGATGTGCAATCCCAGCATAAGTGAGCGATTCGGTTGACGACGTACGACGAGCACTTTATGTTTGTCCACGCTAAACGGGCAGGGGTTCCTCATTGGCTAATCGTAGGCATCGGACATGTCTCACTATAGCAAACTCTGCTCAGCTTGAATATCATTGTTTGCCGTATATTAATATTGTCGATGCAGCAGTATACATTTGAAGCGATGACAATTGCGCGATCGCCAATTGAAGCCAAGTCTAAACGTCGCTCCTTTAGTGAGCATGGGGAGCACTATATTTCCTCTGAGACAGATAGAACAGTGAGCCCCCGAACCCGAAACTGTTGCTCAAACTACAGATGTCGACGGAATCCGTGTCGACACAGTGTTGTAATGTTATATATTTCTAGGTAGGTCATTAGTCTCAATACTGACCGCTACCATAACTACTGACGGCACCGCGATGGGTATCACTGGGTTCTATCCCATAGATCCTTAATGGCTATTTACCCTAAAAATTGTGGTAACGACATTTTGTTGCCATTTAGTAGGAACAGACTGTGTATCCAAGTACCTTTGAAAGAATCAAGATGACGACCGCGCTAGTTTCACAGCAGTCATCTCCAGAGCCTTCGAGTGAATATTTTCGCTCAGGAGAATTTAAGTGATTAGTAATAGCAGCTTCTTTAATCCATTTGCTGAACTATACTTGACAAGAGTAGATTGTAGGAAGGGATGTAGGAGTGGGTGTGTGATACAGGCTAGTGACACGTCGGAATGCTGGACAATATTTTAACTGTAGACCGCTGGCCGTTTACTGGACGCTTTTGTCTATCTGTCTCTTAAAAGGTGTGGAGAATGCCGTTTTACTTTGTGAAGTTCTTTGGTATATTCATACATCAACTTGTTAATCGGCAAAAACCCTCTCTAGGAATCATTCCGCTGCGTTAATCTGTCCTCACAAACAAGTGTGGTGCAGTGACCATGCTACATCGAACAGTCACCTTAGGTATTTGGACTGTTTGACCCCCGTATGCACACAACGATGCGTCTCTTACGGCTTTGCACTTTTGAGTCATACTCCAGATGATAGATGGTGCGTTCATAGAAGAGAGAAGCATAATTTATGGCACAACTGTTATCAGATCGTGAAACATTTCCGCAAACTCTATCCAGGTACTATAAATGGAATCACCATAACTCCCATTTGGCTTCCTCAACATGCCCTGGTAACATATCGTATCGAGTTATTTCACGCACCAGGACATTCGGTGTTAGATACATAGTAAGTATGGGACCATGCTTACAGAGCTCTAATGGGCTGTCTGTCATTTCCTCGTTAAGTACGAGCAGTTTAGCTGGAGTCCCCGAGTCAAGTGCAGCTGGTTTGTCACTGTCATAAAATACAGCAGGGAAGTGACATGGATGAACGGTGGACTGTTGGAAATAACTTCTTACAGACCACCCACGGTGAGCTTGCCGTCTATGGATTCTCCCTCACCATCTAACTGCTCATCATCGAGCTTAAACTCATTCCACTCGGATTTATTAAATCCACAATTTGGATATTAAATGGTCGAATTCTTCCCACGCTACAACATCGTATTCACTTTTGGCAATTTGGATGGAGTTGTTATAAAAACTCAAGCGCGAAACCGGTAGATTTTCAAGTTCCCGTTGGGTCTCTGAAAGAGCTTGTTTCAGGCCATTCGATAGCCTAAACGCTTGCTCGTCCAATATTGAGTTTAGGCGCTGCATCATAATTTTCAGTCACCAGTTCATTGCTGTTTATCCACTATTCAAACCGGGTTAGAAAGTGGGTACTTTGGGGGTCTCTAAGGTACCCACTTTTGTGGTTTGTCGCATCTGATATTGATGGGAGACCGAGGCATCGTCTATTCCCGC